CAAAAACCGATATTTTCAATCGATATCGATCGCCACGTGACCCGAAGGAATTTCCACAGTACCCAATCAATACTTGCTATACGACGTGTGCGAATGGAAGAAATGCCCAAACCAGTCGCATCGCCTGGCTACGCTGGGCATTCCGACACCAAGAAGGAGCAGAGCCCGGCGTAGCCGGCCGATGCGACTGGTCTTACGATATTAGAGAGATATTGCTTTTGAAGCGGCAAAAACTCGCATGAAAATTTCAGCATCCTCGACGTCCCTCGACGAAATTTGAGAGACCCTCTTTCTGCATGGAAGGCTTTCAGAGCAATTTCAATACTTCTTGGAAACGCGAAATCCAGCTCTATCTAACCCTACCTCAAACTGCTTCAAAGGTTATGAAATGGAGGAATGCAACCTTTTCATCGAGGGTGTAGATTTCGACGGTTTTTTTTTGGGATTTCAGCAAATCTGACCCAGTGACAATCGCGCCGCAGCTGCCGTTGAATCGGCCTTGATTGATACACTCGGCTGTTTTGATATACTCAAGCAGGAATTAAGATTAAATCGCAACCCCGTGCCTTCAGGATTTCTGTGCATTTCTGAACGAACCTGCTTTTGAGGTCACACAAAGTTAATGCCTCTTTCCTCGAGTCGATATTTCAGTAAATACACAAAAGTGTGCAGCGATGAAAGAAAGTGCATAGATGACAAGATGAGGCGTCCATAACATTATTTTGCAGGATTTTTTTTGATTAATTAATTGAATTAATTTGCTCTGTTTTAGGGGGTCGTGCCAGGATCTCGATTTCAGGGGGTCGTACTTCTGCGACCACGTCCTCGACACGATTTTCACTCTGGTACACTCGCATATGCACGCTATGCATCTCTGCTTTCGTTCCTTCCTTAATAAGACTTAGTCCTAGTGCTCCCCAAACGCGTGAGAGTCCCAGAAAAACACAAAGTAGTGCTTTTCTGTCTGGGCTCTCACGCGTTGGTTGACCACCGCCCCGTAAGCTGGCGAAGGGCTCGAAGGGAGGCGCTGCAAAATCATCAAGGCGGTAGCTAAGAGCTGATCTCAGACTGGAAAGATAATGGGAATGAGGAGAGGCGAGACAGTTAGACGAGGGATTGACAATAGTTTTCATGGAATAACTTATTGTCATTTCAAGCATATTAGTAGTTTACACATGGTTAGACTCGCCACAGAGAGGCGAGTCTATTGCTGTAAAGATCTTTCCATTTTACCCGCTTTCAAGGAAGTTATAATGGTGCGACGGTTTGCGACGCTACAGAACCGTCGCAACGCGTAGATGTTACAAAAGTTAGGAGCAGTGTTGTACTTGGTGTGGACCAGAAAGTAGATAGAGCTGATAAGGGATGGTAAGAAGCGTTAGGACGCAAGTGTCACGGAAAGCGCAAGGCCTAGCAGCACTGAGGCGTTGCATTGCAGGTATGGTAGAGGGGATTGTTATTTGATGGGAACCGGAAAATGAGAACGGCTGATATGGGTTGATAAGAAGCGTCGGAAGGGAGATGTCACTGAAGTTCTTATCCAGATGTTGGATAAGAAAACATATTCTTCGCGATGTCGTCGTGATCCATTCGACCGCTAATCTGCCCGAGCTTCTTAAATGGTCGGCGTCTGTGAAATATGATAACTATTGGTGTTTCTATCTCATCGCCGACATAAAAAATCGACCATCGACCGCTAAACCATCGCAATATCCAAAACATGGTAGATGTTTGGGAGCTGATCAACGCTCATTCGGCTGCTAGATTTTGTTAGTTCTAGAAGATGATGGGTTTATTGGTATTGGCGAACTAGAAGAATTTACTGCTTTATTGGACCAGATTAGTCCCCCGTCAACCGCCGGGACCTTCCTTTCCTGCGCAAGCTTTCTATCCTCCGCTATGGTCCCTTCCTCCTGTGACACCAACACCTCCTGGAAGTGACGCGTATGCAACACAATGGTGCCCTTCCTCTCTCCACTGCCCTCCAGCTGCCACTGCAGCACCATGTGGAATGAACGGAAGTGTGCTAAGCAGGTGTTTATATAGCCCTAAGAGTGTTATCACAACTATCCTGCTACAAAACATTGATATCTCAAATCCTGTAAGCTACCCGATTTGTTAGCGGTTTGTTTATCCCATGAGCTTCCTTCTCACTCACTTCATTTTGCGGACGGACACACATACATACATACATACATACATACATACATACATACATACATACATACATACATACATACACACACATACAGACATACAAACCGACACACAAAGTTAGCGCTTTATAAAATAGAAGGATTCCCTGAATACCATCAGTCAAATCCACTTGAAGCAGAAGTATTATGTTACTTACTACAATGGCCCAGCGGTACTCAGTTTCACTGATGCTTATGTTAACATGCGTGCGATAGCGCAGAACTTGATCCGGAGCAAAAATGGTATATGATAGCTGCAGTGTGCGACAACTGATAGAGTGCAACTGCAACTTCATTTGTAATAGAAAACTTTTACACCTTGCAGAGGCCTCGTCTGTTGTGTTGGGAGGTCTGCACGACGAACCTCTCGTCTTCGGGAACGGGGCATACCTACAAATCCTGCGGCGAAATGCGTCTGCACTGTACATTCACATTCCAAATGACGACAGTTTCCGAACGAATTTAATCATTAACCAGTTTTGCTCCGCCCGCTATCGCGCGCATCACACGGCAGGCTTTAGCGAAACTGGAGGACCCATGGAATATCAGCATGAGGTACTCCATTAACCACCTCACTATTGAATGTGTTAGACCTTTCCCTGAAGTCCATCGAGAATACGCGTGATAACGTCTGGAGCTGAACTGGCATATTTATCTCACAACTGTAAACATCCAGCATTCTTCTTGAATTCAGATAATTTAGCGGTGAATAGGATTGCTGTCAGTCTCAAAATGAAAATGAAATATGCCTATTTACATAAGTGAGGAGCTAAGGCTTATCATTTATTTACATTCACCATTATTTAGAACCCCGAAAGGATTAGCGGTTTAATGAGTTTGGGCTTTCTTGATAGAGAAATGAAACTTATCATTTGCTGAAGACTTGATTGAGTTTATGCAATCGACTTCTATGGTCATACAATGATACAATGTGCACGTACCACTACAAATAGAATTTGTAAGTAGGGACGCTCTAGTGTCAACGCAAGCTACGTAACGGAATCGACGACTTTTGCGTTCTGACGCGCCTTATCAGCCTTATCAGTTGTAATCACTTTCCATCACCCACCAACAATGTCCCGTCCCACCCCACATAACACTTGTAAGTATGGACGCTCTGGTGTCAACGCGAGCTGCGTAACGGAATCGACGACTTTTGCGTTCTGACGCGCCTTATCAGCCCTTATCAGTTGTATCACTTTCCATCACCCACCAACAATGTCCCCGTCCCACCCCACATAACACTTGTAAGTATGGTTGCTCTGGTGTCAACGCGAGCCAGGCAACGGAATCGACGACTTTTGCGTTCTGACGCGCCTTATCAGCCCTTATCAATTGTTATAATTGTTATGGGCGGAAGTGGTGTAGTGGCAAGTGGCACGCACGCGAGCGGTCCGGGATCAAATCCTGGGTCGTGAGTCGCCCGGGCCAACCAAGCCTTCCATCCCTCCGGGGTCGGTTAATTGGTACCAGACTTGTCTGGGAGGATAAAAACACTGACTTGTACATCGGCTGGCCCCCGCAAGTCATTGTATAGGCCACATCGCATTCAAACGCCACTACGAATGTACAAATGGAAGTAGAATGCGTGCCGCATCCCAAAAGGGATTGATCAACGGCAAATGCTTTATCCTTTATCCTTTATCAATTGTTATCACTTTCAATCACCCACCAACAATGTCCCCGTCCCACCCCACATAACACTTGTAAGTATGGACGCTCTGGTGTCAACGCGAGCCAGGCAACGGAATCGACGACTTTTGCGTTCTGACGCGCCTTATCAGCCCTTATCAGTTGTATCACTTTCATCACCCACCAACAATGTCCCCGTCCCACCCACATAACACTTGTAAGTATCAACGCGAGCTGCGTAACGGAATCGACGACTTTTGCGTTCTGACGCCCTTATCAGCCCTTATCAGTTGCTATCGCTTTCATTCATGTACCACCAATGTCCCGGGACCACCCCACATAACACTTGTAAGTATAGACGCTCTAGTACCAATATGAACGACAAAACGAAATTGGCGATGCTCGCTTTCTAGCCCCTCTTATCAGCTATTATCAGTCGTTATCAGTTCCTATCATACCACTTGTGTCCCCATCCCACCCCCTATAACATATGTAAGAACCATGGCGCTATCATTGCTGTGACCCGAGCTATGAATTTCGTGACAAACACACACACACACATACACACGCACAGACATACTTAGCGAATTATATATAGTAGGATTGTTCATAATGACGGCGGCTAGTTCATCAATGACAACCAGTAGTAACTAGTGACAAATAGTAGAAAATGACTGGTATTGCTCAATTATTTCGTTGGCAGAAGACAGCCAGGCCAAGGCCGACGTCACTGTCACTACTATTACAATTTTTATAAGGCCTGCACTGCAGGCGCACCTAGAGGCCGGGTACAAATTATAGGTTACCTAACATAAAGCCTATCGCGCAGCGAGAGTCGGAGATGCAGAAGAATGAGCGAGTTGAACGCTATCTACCCTGCCTCCTCTTCCACAGTATTTGTAAATCGTCGCAAGAAGAATTGGGACAACTCGCACCGTGATCTGCTCTGTACCTTTGGCCCTTCCCTCACGATAGGCTTGCTGTGTCCGGTACTGCAAGGGTACGCACACACACACTGACATGCCGTAAACCGAAAAAAACACGTCAATGATTCACAAAATGGGAAGATTATGCGAAATACAAAAGAAACAATACACGTTTTTGCTGGTCGAAGCAAGCATCTGATAGGGCGTGGTGATCATCGTGATAAGGAACACTATAAAAGCTGGGATAATGGGGTTGAGTCATTTTCCTCTGCCGATGATGATGCTCTTTTATGCTCGTTACTGCGTGTTGCTACTCTGGAGCCTCTACACGATCTGCCACTCAGCCATCGACGACGACACGGTTGCAAGAGCCAAGAAGGGTGCATGGGTTGCTCTACGCGATAGCGACGATGAAGCAATAATCAAAGTAAGTCAGTGGGGTATACCATTTAATTATGACTGCTATTCGAACAGAATACTTAGCTTCACTGTCGTTTATTCCAGGTGGCGAAGATGAGTGAATTTGGTAGGACAGTCGATGCAGCAGAAGACTTTTGCAAACAAGATGACTCCCATCTGACGTCTGTTCTATCCGAAAACGAGATGAAGTTCATAGGAGGTTTTCAATATCATTTCATAGGAGCGGAGACCGAAAGGCTGATTTTACAATGAAAACGCCGCGCTTATTGAAATAAGTGTAGAGGTGGTAGTGAAGCAGGGATGAAGAAGAACCATGTGAAACGGCCCAGAACCCGAGAAATGGGACCCTTCCTTGCCCGTTGATTTCGCATTGATGCGACTCTCATCGTTGTGCCCTCTTCAACGCTACGCTCTCTCTGCTATCTAATCACTCGCTGCGCATAGACTGATTAGATAGTCGGTAGGCGTTCCGCCCCAATTTCGTCGAAGAGAAGATGATGCCATATCGAGAAGGGCACATCCCCAGATGCGAACTGCGTGTTTGGCTGTACCCTTACGGGAGTTCGCCCTTCTCTCCGCTACGTAATTTTCCAGTGCGTGGTGTATGTGGTGAGTATGCGCGGTGTGTGGTGCGTGTGTGCGGTGTGGGTGTGGTGCGTGTGTGCGGTATGTGTGCATGTTTGTGTGCATGTGTGTATGCATGTGTGTATGTAAGTGTGCGGTGGACGGTGTGTGTTTTTATTATATGTATGCGTGTGGTGTTTGTGTGTAATGTGTTTTTGTGTCGCCATGCTCGGTACTACCTCAAAGGCAAAAATCGGATTCAGACCCACCTAATAAGCCCTTAAAGTGGCTAGAAGTGCATGGGACGCAACTGCAGGCGACTCGCCAAGTTCCCGCATCGAAATGCGTCACTAAGGCGCTAGGGGCCAAGGACTTTGACACGCTCCACCTGTTGCGACACGCTCCGCCCACCGCTCGATATCTTGTCTGCGTCGCAATGCTGATCTGCTATGCTCTCTCTTCTCGGACTTCTCTACCGCTCTCCGCGCTCACATTATCTCTCATCTCCCTGCCGGCCTTTTGAACTTCTCCGCAGCGTAGAGCAAAAGGCTCGTATTTCCTGTGTATTTCACGATTTTTTCCTTTTTTCTCCACTGGCGGTCCACCTCCCACCCCTACATTCACATTTGAGTAGGAATTACCTCATCAGTTTAAGCTTGAATCTTGCCTTTAAGAACCATTTACAGAGTTCGGGTCAAGAACAGGATGGTTCGGGCACGGGTCAAGAAGCTCAGGACAAATACCAGGGACGGTAGTAATCTACCCAAACCAGCTGTTAAGGAAAGCCATCACATGCCCGTAACCGGCAAAGAACGTTGTTGAAGTTGGAAGTTAACTAGCTCTGAAACACGCAGCTTCACGACATCGCAAGCAAAACTTCCTCCTAAATCCCTACCAGCACCGTGCGTGTGTGATTGCTATCGTTGCCACTGCACCACGGAGTAGTACCAGCCACATATGAAGGGTTGCCTATAACAGTGGGACGGCTCACGCTGTTTGCAAAAACCGGACGCCGTGCGGTATCGATCCGCCTACCTTGCCAGCGGCGGCGTAGAGGCATGGCAGTGCGCCATGGAGCTCTCAACCACAGCAAGGGAGAACACTTTCTGCAAACCTGGAACCTCATTTCTCGGCCCTTCCACATCGCTATGAGTTTTTTGCGCACTAGAGAATAATGTGCAGAGACAAAATCTTGATGCCGACCTTTTATTGATGAAAATTATATACAACAACAGTGAAGCTTTTGGCATGACCGGTCTCAAAAGATGTCGTCCACATGCTCAAACAACAAAATCATAGGATATTAATATGCTATCTGCATCCTATAGTAGCGGGAGAAAAAACTGAGGATGGGGTGAGCCAATAATCATGATCGTAACGATTATGCATCCTCAATGCTAAATCTATTATAACGCGGCTTCGAGAAGGCTTCTGTTAAGAAGTGTAACACGAGAGAAACTGAGCAACAAATGCAAAGGGAAAGGACCACATTCGGATATATCGGAGTAATAATAACAGTTTTCGCCTATGAAATGTACACAACCAAGATTTAATTATTACTCAGCTATACATAAACCATATAACCGTAAAACAAATCCTGTGAAAAAGAGTGTATGCAACGGTGATAAAAACCTACTGCTAGTTGTTCACTATTATCCTTATTCGCTCCCAATATATCACAAAACAATCCATAAAACAGGAAAACACAGCCTGAATTCGCTGCCGCCTTGAGTTGACTTAGCCAAAGACCTTTGAATAGGCTATAGACAGACTCATTCCAAACCACCATCGCAGTTCGGATCATTCCAATACGATAATCCGACGATTTGCCAAAACCCCTCCGTTCAAATCCGTTCATTCACCTTGCATGACAGCTACCGCTGAAGGAGCTTTTAATTCTGTGGAGCAATGTGCATCATATCAATAAAAGCTTGTGTATCAGTCTGCTGTTAACCCTCCCTCCCTCGTAATCCAAAATGAAACTCATGTCTTCCCTGCTGACCTCATTGCTGCGCGAGTTAAGACCGGTTCCTATAGCAGGTGGTGATGTCCGCTCTTCCAAGACGTGCCTGAGAACTGCTCATTTTTGCGGGATGAGCTCACGTCCCACCAAGGCTCACGTCGTGAACACTAATGCTCTCCGTCCGACGACAGGGACTAGCTGCTGGAGCGGCCAGAGGTGTATAGGAATCGATGAAGCCTTGCTGAGTCCAAGTGCTAAGAGGGTGGAAACTAGTAGCCTACCTGTCCAATTGGACCGCGCATGTATTTCCAACTCCCCCGGCATCCCTCGACAGAACGCTGCTTTCATAGTCGACTATCGCAGACGAGTTATCGATCCTCTGAGCAAGGCAGTCGCTATGGGTTGATCCTTCAAGAAAAACAATTGTTTACAGGTTTCTCATGGATCTAAGCGATTCTTACCAGGTTGTGCCATTGGATGGTGAGCAGAGATGCCCATTGGGAACACATGATTTTCCTTGTTGTTCCTAGAAAGGTCACCTTTAGAAAATTCCTATGTGCTCTAGATTAAAGAGTCGGTCCCAGAAATCGCACCATTCCTAAGCCCATCCAGCCCATTTCTCCAGAGCTCGGGCGAACGTAAAATCAAGTCAACATAGTGATAATAAAAAGAGGGAAGGAAAAACTGACAAAATGATTCTGATCCCGACCCAAACTTCTCACCTTAACCACACCGAGGCGGGTCCGGTCAGTCCAGTGCAAGTACTGATCAAACAGTGCCAAACCAAATGGATATTGACAGGCACATAAGACGAACCTAAGCACAAAAATTTCTTTTGCAACAGCCACGAGAAAGCCCTCGGAAGAACTATGTCAGTGATATGACCATGAATATGAATGTCCTAACATTTCTAACCCCTTTCAAAGCATTTATACAGTTTACCCGGAGGATGGATTCAATCCGTTTTTCGGTACTGCTACCATATTTGGCTCCAGATGAGTTTAAAGTAGACTGTGATGAGCTGAGCACCTGAAATAACTATTAGCGGACGGCAGTAGTAAGCAACAAAGCCTTTTGTCCACGGTGGGAGGGGCGTCTTTCAAATGGACTGTGCTTAGTGAAGAATTTCGTACTCCGTCAGGAGAACATGGAACAGAAAGAAATGAAATAGAAACAGTCGATCTAGGGGGCTAGTTCTAAGGGGTCTCAGCATATCCGGACCGAGTGAAAGACCGCACACAATAGGCGGAGCGTGCTCCTGAATGGGCGCTGTTAATGATGAATCCTCATAACTCGGTTCCAAGATGTCTCAACGACAGGAAAAAAGAGGCTAAAGGTCGGCGAAGGAGAGAAAGTCAACCGCGATCAATAGACATGGAAGAAAGTGGGCGGAGTATGTAACGAAACACAACAACACGGCTGCGAGAGGTCCTTGAAACAGAAAAAAATAACCGAGCTTACAGACGGGAAGAAAGTTGGAAGATGCTAGTGGGTTTGCCGTGCACAAAAAAGGCAGAGCTTGCCAACAAGCTTGTAGCCCCCATACAAGACTCACGGGGTAGAGGCTTGCAAATGAAGAGAGGTTAAGCACATAGTGTTGGTGGGTGGAGCGTGCAATGAGGTGGGCCCGAACTCTGCCATCGAAACCTTTGCTTCCAAAAACCCTCAGATACCGTGAAAAAAGTGGACAAATCTGAGGAGAGGTTAAATGCTATCGGTGGGTGGAGAGCGCACTAAGGTGGGCGGAGAGAAGAAATGTCGATGGCCCTGTTTATACCACTACTGTCCGGTGAGGTGCACGCGAATGCGTGCGCAGCCAACTTGGTAACACATCTTTGTTATCCGTAATGGAAAGCAAAGCTGAAAGTGAATATTTAAGCAGACAGTGGACTGCCTTAGTCACTTCTTCATCTCTTTACCAGATCTGGTGGTCGCGATCTATCGCAGTGGAGGAGGTAATTACGAGTATGTGCATGCACTGACAGGCTTGCGGAGGGGTGTGATATGGTCTGATGGATCTGCAACCGACTTTGTGGTAGAAGCTCATAAGGATCCGAAGGCCGTTTTTGAAGGGACGATATTGGATGATAAGAAAAACTATTGTACCTACGTGAGTTTTTTGTTTGACGATTACTTGATACCCTGATATTCTTCTAATGGCTTTGTACCCCTTACACAACCATCCTTTGAAGAAAGGGGAGTTGACTGAGGGGATCCTAGGGAGTCACTTGAATTTGTTGTTTTGATCTCACAGCAATCTACTCCCTCTCGCCGCCATCTTCTATCGGTAGCTGCTACGCCTCTCGCACATACCACGGTAAGAGCGCCCCTCCCTCAGCAAGTAGTGGTTTCAATATTGTCGTATGCATTATCGATTAAAGACTTCCGTAAGCTCGAATCGCGCACCATGTTCCTCTGAAACTTTTATCGGCTGTCTTGGGTGTTGTGCACTATTACCCTACTATCCTACTGTATATAATCGGCTAAGCGGTTGTATGTGTGTCTGACCGGAAATTCATAGCGTGCTTCGCTGCAGGCATGGAGTGCTGTATTTTGAGGCCTTTGTAAACGCTTTGCGGCCGTAGCGCTTACGTTGGAACCTTGGCTCTCACATGTGGTATAGGGGATGGGACGGGAACACGGATAGTGGATGATCAAAAGTGATAACAAGCGATAACGGTTGATAAGGAAGTTAGGATTTTGAGTACTGCTAATTTCGTTGCAGCCTTCGTGGTGACAGTAAATATTAGCTCCTACACGTTGCCTGGAGGTTGGGACCGGGACACCGATTGCGAACAGTATGAACTGATAACAAATGACAAGGAATGATAAGAGCGTCTGAATGCAGGTCTCTCCAACTTCGTTGCAATTATCACTGGCAAGCGATCAAGGTGGCGAGGGTTGAATGTAGGTGACAGAAAGTGGTATGAGCGGCAACTGTACTGATAAAAGTAGCGACAGTTGAGCGTGCACTCAGTTGAACTAAACCAGGTCCCTAGCACGTGAATATGTTCCATTCCTACCCTTTCATCTAAGAAGCAAAGAAAGTTGAGCTGCTCAACTATCTGGACTTGGACTAATAGCGAATTTCCATCATATTTCCAATTTCCATCATGGTTAGATGCTGATTGATTGGTTATATTTCACTTACACACCGATTCTTCAATTGTGGAAATTCTATAAACCGCTAAATCATCCGAGCTCGATATCAATGCTAAATGTTTACGAAGTCATGATAAGTACCATTTTCATTCCGCATGCTACTGCGCGCATTACGCGACAATCTTCAGCGAGACGTTGGTGGGGCGTTGGTTCCGAGACGTCATGTAGGGGGACGGACGGGAACACATTTGGTGGGGGACAGAGATGGATAACTGCTTATAAGGACTGATAACAATGACTTGCGTAATAACAGTGAGGGCACTCGAAACCAGATTCGAGATAGCGCTTTTCATTTCAGCATCACTATTTGCGTTGTCATCTTTATGACCGTTACACTCCCAGAAATTCTGAAATTGTATGGTGGATGTTTGGAAAACATGATTATAAGTGCAGGGTGTTTCTGTCTCGAAATTATTACCATCAAAGGTTACTCTACAGCCAAATTATTTTTACATTCAATGCATGGTGGTTGTTTACAGCCACCAGTTAAGCTCCGTACTCCGCCTTTTCTAAGCAACTTATTTCTAGCCGGTAGAATCTAACGTTCCACCGACTGTCCACTTTCACCGAAGCTTCCGATGTCACACAGTTGCGTGCGAAGCTGAATTGATGAAAAACGAAATGAATTGATTTTCAGATGGGAGCATTTGAATGAATTTAGCAAATTGTCATCAATTCCGTTTGAATTCATGCCACAGGATCAGACTGGTGTGATTCTTGCACACGAATGAGAAAGTATTGATGGGAAATGAACCGAGATCACCTGTCCACTGTCGTCCCGTTGATCATCGATTTGCTCGAGCGGGCGCCAGCAACGTCTCCATTCGTCCCTGTCGCGTGCAAGAGTTGTCCAGTGGACCCTCCTCGCTCGAGGGACACGAAGTCCTTCATTCCTTTCGTTCAGAGCTTTCGTGAAGAAGTCTGACCATCGGGCCGGCGGTCGTCCAGGTGTTCGTTTGACGTCCCGAGGGATCCAGTCGATAACGGCTATGGTCCACCGGTCATCACAATGTCGCATGGAGCCAGTTTGAGGGCAAAAGTCGGGCTCAATAAGGGGTATTATGGCGATTGAAACTGAGTATAGAGATGCGAAGTGGAACGACAGTGGAGAAAAAACTGAGAAAAACCGTCGACAAGGCCGTTAACAAAACCCTCTTTCCCACTAGCAGTGAAGGAGGCTGGCTTGGGAAAGAGGCACGTACAAACAAGTTTTCTGGAGATGTCAGTCGTTCTATCGGTTGATACGGCAATCAACCTAGCTGATTTCACACGTTATGCCAGCCACGCACCACTTCCGGAGGTGGGCGGTCCTGGATTGAAACCGAACGCCCCGGGGCCTTAACGGGGTTTTTCAAGGTGGGAAGTTGCTGCAATGTGTGCAGCTACCCACATACAACCTCCAGGCACGGGAATTACTTCTCTAGCGTGCCTGAGCCCGACCTTTGCCTAGTGGTAAGATTCTCATTTCTTCGCACCTAATCAATTATGCCTCGCTCCGAGGTGCGAAGCAGCTCTAATTGAGTGGGATAACTCAGAGGTCATGATGCCACCTCCACATCCTTATTGATTGAGTGAACAGCCACTATTTTGTGAAATCAACAAATGAAAAATGCCACTCTGAGTGACGATACTAGTAATTCACAATACCTGAATGGTATTATCATCGAATAGATCAGCCTATAACCCAAACCATTCAAATTTTAGGGTAGAAGTCACGCAAAGATTTGGAATCCGAAATGTGAGCCGATGCCTGAGGTGAAGTAGGTCCACTGAGGAAGCCACACATGCTTTTGTTTAGCATGGGGCCGGAGAGAGGGCCGAGGTTTCACCATGCGGGCTGGAGGCGGGTTGAGGATGTTATGAAAACTATATCCCCACTGTCCCGTTCGCTGAACACCATTGAAGCGAGAGCGGAAAGAGAGATAAGAGCTGTGAAAACGATATATCTAAGCAAAACAACGGTGAATCTCAGATTGAAATACAGCGAATGATGAATGCGGGAAAACATTTGATCTTCCGCTCGGCTGATAATGATGGGAAACATGTATCGCGCGCGGAAACATTTAACATTTTTACTGCGTAGGTGGCGAAAGAAAAAAAATGTTGGAATAGATCTAGGATAAAGCCAACCCCGAGCATCCAAAGGAAGTTCTCACCGTAGGAACGAGAGAAATGAGAAAAAAAACATATATCGGGGCGATTAAGGAAAACGAATTCCCGGAGAACGGTATGTAGGATCCCGACGAGTAACAACCTGCTTACCCAACTTCCAACCGGTCGATGCTCCCCTGTACCGCCGTTTTGAAAGTCCCTGGAGAAAAGACCTAGTGAGAATGCGTTTCCAACGGCAGTTGCCGTCGGAGAGATGTCAACAACATGAAAAATAAAGGTTGGGACGGTGCCGAAGCAGCCAAAGGGCAAAGCTTCAAGCGAAGGCGAGAAGCGCTGCGAAAGAGATGGAACGCGGAGAAATGACTAACGTTCAGCGACTGCAAAAAAACACCGAGAAAGCCTGTGCAACAGATGGGAGTACTGTAATCAGTGGGAAAATAAAGGAAAGAGGCTTGTAATAAAAAAATGAGTGAATGTATGTTCAAATGGAAAAAGAGCTAACATAGAACGCAATCCTTACATTTGCAATGGCGCCCACTAAGAAAATACGGCTTGCTCACAGAATCACGAGACCTCTACAAGTAATACCAAAATTGCGAAAAAAACCCTGCTTGGAGCTATGGGGAATTTCCTATACACACTTATCCATACTTCGTACCTGCAGCACAACCAAGTTGCCTCGTCTACTGGCCTCAAAACGGAAACCTCCCAAACAGAACCCCATTTCGAATGCGGCTACCGTGTCGCCTCGGTACAAACGAAGTGAGGGTGCAGTTTCTGCTATAGGGTCCAAAAACTAACCAGAAGGTCGTTCCTAAAGAAACATAGAAGAAAAAGAAAGGGTGCAGAAAGAGAGGTGCAAAGAAGAAAAGTGCGATTTCGAGATTGAGCAGGAAAACGGACGACGGAGAGGAAAAAGAAAGATTTCTATCGAATTCTGTTGGATAGGACACCGTTCCAGAGTAGTGAGGAACTCAGCGGAGGAAGCGAAACGTCACAATGGCAAGAAGGGCTACGAATTGCAAGGCGACTAAAGCGAAAAAATCAGAGAGTCAATCAGAAACTGGCTGCCCAGAAAGGCCAGAGAACTAGAAAGCAAAAGAGGTAGAGAAAGAAAGAATGAGAATTAAGTGGAAAATCAAGCCGTTACTAACCAAACTAGAGAGGAAGGACACGATAAAAAAAACCTAAACAGTGAGAACTGACCTGATGTCCGCCGAGTGCGATCCCACTCGCTGCTACCAGTGGTAAGTTAGTGATTTCACCCCTTACGTATACAGCGAATACAGTGTGAGTGAGCACATTCATCTGGAAGCGAATACCACATAACGGACGGCGAATGCAGTGTGGCGCAGTGGAAGTCTGAGCGGGCCTATTCCGACCCAAGGCGTAGCGGATACCGGCTAGCCAATCCAGTGGCCCAGTCGTCCCAATCCAACCCGCCGCTTCGTCATCCCTGCTCGAATGCCCCTCGCCTCCGCCGCTGTCTCCGCCTCCTGAAATCAGATCGATCATCGGAACAATTCTCGACATATAGTAAGGAATTTAAGGAATTCCAATGACCCCATGAGTAAGCCCAACTCCTACACTTCAAAATTGCTACATTTAGAAGCGGTAAAAGCCACTAAAATCAACAAGATCAGTGCTTTCAGGCATACGTTAGAATACCTGAAAGGAAAACTCCTCCTGTCCAAAAGTTTCTGTTAGGAGCCTAGAGGTCAATCCGTTGAATTAGCTGCACCTTCTCCACTTTGATTTGGTCTAGAGCATGGGATTTTCCTTGAAAGAATTTTCGGACTGTGCTCATTGGGACATGACGTATTTTAGTGAGTAATCTCACTCTGGAATGAGCCATTCAACGTTTGTGGTGCG